TTTGAAAAATGCTTGAGACGCCTAATTTATTGCCCCTAAAAATCACTTCTAATGATGTGTTTGACAAGTGTCAAATTTTGATTTGTTAAACATTCTATCGTGTGGCATCTAACCTCAATGCTATATCATTAAAGTTCATTTAAGGGTGATAAATTAGTGGTGTGTAATGTTGTTGATTTTTTTTAAGATAATAATTGGAAAAGGGAGTGCGAAAAGACGGATAGTGAAAAATGAGGTAAAAGGAGAAAACCTGTGTAGCGATTCCAGTTTCGATCCTTCTTTCATGTTTTGCCACTTCGTCTGGGCCGGTCGGGGATGGAGCTGCCCGCTCAGCTTGCAGGAGTCCAGGGGACAGCGCCCCTTGGCGGGTCCGAGGGCAGCGCCCTGGCGGGGTCGAGAGGCAGTGCCCCCGAAGCAAAAATGCAAAATGCATTCGAAGTTGCTTGTCCGATCAAGCGGCCGTTTATGCGCTCGAGCGCAGAATGTTTGGTTTCAGAAGTTTGACCTAGCTGCAAAAGTATTGGGTTAGTGTATTTGACGCTTGAGCGGACCATGTTATATCAGTTCATGAATCTGATATTTCAGATCACTTTTTCAGTCCTCTCTCTCTCTCTAAAACTCTCCAGAATTCTAGATCGGGAGCTTCTATCTCTAGAAGTCATCTTCTCTCTTTGATTTCTCTAAATCCATTGGGATTTAGACCTACGTTCGAAGTTGGTTATCATCTTGAGGGCTTTTTTGTGTGCAGTGAAGATCGAGTTTCGACACCATTGATTTTGGAGGTTTCTTCTCATTTCTTCTTCAAAACTTGAGGTAGGGATTTTCTTAGAGTTATATATATATATTTTTGCAAAATCTATATGATTTTCGAAATCATCTTTTAATAGTTTTGAAAATTGATTGTTGATTCAAGAAGTTGAGCGATTTTAAAAGTGGGTTTGTCTCTTGTTCTTTTAAAATGATCCTATGGGTTTTGATCTTCGTTGATTGAAGAAAAGATGATTTTGAAAAGTTTCTTTCACAAGATTTGAGTTGTATAGTTTTGGTGAGAAAACCTAGAATTTGAGAATTTTTTTTGAAGACTGAAAATCCATGAATGATATTGTTATATTTATTTTGTGTGTCAAAATAAATAGATGTTTGGAAATTTTCTTATTTATATTTATATAAATGATAAATTTCAAGGAATATGACAATTGTTGTTCATTTTGGAAATTATTATTCAAAACGTTGAAATAATCTTGAAATGACTAATTGTTGAGGATACTTGAGAAAAGGGAACTGTGTTATTCCTTGGATGATGAATTGGAATGAAAATATTTATATTTATCTTGTGAAATTGGCATATCAATTCATTTGATTACATCGAACTTTGAAAATTGATTTGAAAACTTGTATTAAGAAAAGAATGTTGAGAAACAAGTTTTCATGGAATGATTTTGGGGTAAATAGGTTGGTAAGTCTTGATAAGTGGTGTAGATGATATTGAATAAGCTAGCCTAAGAGTCCAGGGTGAAAGACCGAAAACCCGCACCGATAGGTGTCAAGCGTTCTGGTTAATACTGGTAAAAATGAAAATTTGGTTGTACTTGTATAGTCTACTTACAGACACCGACTTAGGGATTACCAGAGTCATATTTACCGCCCTTGAAATAAATTGTTAAGTTTTGAACAATTGAAATTGCATGATATCATTGAGCATGATGGTTTTCAAAAAAATGAAAATGTGATTTATCTTCAAAAAGGGCATAGCATGGCAAATGCATTTTATCTCTTGAGACTTGTATAAAATGTATATACTTTGTTAAGAATTTCCTACTGGGCTTTATGCTCTCACTACGGGATTTTTGTGCAGGAAAAGATGTGGTAATCCCACCCAACTAGGAGCGTGGAAGTATGTGTGTTGGGAGTACAATACTCTCATTTTGCTATGACTCTGTGTGTAGCCAAGGGCTGTGTCTGTGTGGGTTTGAATAACCGTTTTGTGTAACCAGACTCAAGCCTTGGAAACATGTAAATCCTTGGGGATATTTATTTGTTTATTTTCTTGTTGTTGGATTAATGTATTGTTGCATGAAGAACTATTGTATCATGTAATGTAAGTTCAGAGATTTATATTCGGTTTTCCTTAAAAGAGCCATAATTATTGTATTATCATTTGGGTTAGATATTTGGGGCGTTACAACCTAGATAGTGAAAAGGGAGGTGCCCCATATTTAATTATTTTATCTAAAATTATGAGAATTTAAGAATCAATATTTAGAGGCTTTATATATATATATAGAGAGAGAGAGAGAGTATAGATAGATAGATACATACATACATACATACATTTGGTTTCAGAATATTGAATCTACTTATCAAAAAATTGATTTTATTTTTTATTTTTCGTGTTTTGTTTTTACTGATTTTTTTTTTTAATATTTTATATTTTTTATTTTTTAGATACACCTAATCTAAATAAGCTTAAAACTATAATATTTGTGAAAAAACTTTAAAAAAATTCACCAAATACAAAAAATATATTAAAAAAAAATACGAAAATTCAATACATTTTTTGTATTTTTTTTGTATTTAATGAATTTTTAAATATTTTTGTACAATTTTTTTACTTTTTAAGTATATTAAGATTACGTGGATCTAAAAATTAAAAAAGAATCATCAAAATATTTTAAAAAATCATTAAAAATACAAAAATGAACTGAAAACTTAGAAAACTGTTTTTGAAAATTCAAAATCAAACAAGGTAATCATTTTATTATTTTTAAATTAATATTTAATTAAGAATTAGAATTATTTAGTTTCCTAATTTGAGATTATTTTGTTTACTATTATTAGTTTTGATTTTATTTCCTATTCTATTAGTTTCTTTTTCTACAAGAATTATGTTCATTATAAATAAGGAGGTAAGTCTTAGGGCAAGAGAAAGTTTTTGTGATTAATGAAATTGTGAGTTTTTTTTTTATTTTTTTTATTTTATCAGTAAAGAAAATCTTTATTGATGAAGAAAACATATATTACATATGACATTACATCAACAAGGATGAAAAAGAAAAAAGAGAAAGAGGAAGAAAGCATAATGTTGGTGAGAAACCAACAGTAGCTTAAACCAATACTTGTTGTCACCCAAAGACTAGCTTTATAATTGCTTACAACCCACAAGACCACTATGACTTTAATTCCTCCACACTTACCACGCTATTGCCAACGGAAGAACTTTACATAATCTTGCTTCTAACTCTTAATACTTAAATCCAACCCATCATTCCTACTGTGAGTGTTGATTTTTTACCACATAACTAAAAGGAGAACTAAGTTGGAGAGCACCGGCAAAATAAATTAAGCCCAACAACCTGCACAAGAAGATGATAATCTGGCGGTGGTTCATCTACCTGGGGGCACTCTGACAATCAAGTTAGTAATTAATATCTCAAAGATAGCAAATTGTGCTTAAACTCACAAGAAAAAAACTTATTGCTCCCCGTCTTTCACCCATGAGGGTGCCCTACGTATATAGTCAGCACTGATTTGATCCCTGTAGAAGCCTCATTTCAACGGACTTAGGCTCAATGCTCATCCTGGACTCTCAGCTAGATAGGGATAAACTTCCTAAGAGCTTTATCTTTATCCAGACTAAGATCCTCCTCTGTTCTAAGACTCTTGTCCCTTATCCGCTCATCTCGGATTCCGGTATCTCCGTAGATAACCTTGGCCTAGCCGAGATCACCTCGGTGCATGTCCAGGCCACGTGGCACCTCGGCTGACACCTCAGCATCACCTTGGCCACGTGTTGTTATTCACAAAATACTTCTCCACAACTGCCCCCTAGGTTTTATTACCTCGGCAATCTAAGGTGATAGAACCTACATCACTTGTCCATATAGCATGTCAGTTAACAATCCATTCATCTCTGAGACCGAGATCATGACTCATCGGTTTCAATTTCCCAGGATTTAACTACTCATCTTTATCAATGTCCAAGAACCAAGAACTGAGAGCCAAGTTCTTCAAGTTCTCTAACCGAGATCGTTCCTATAGCCGAGGTTTTTGCTTCATTAAATCAAGAACTTCAAGAGTTTTATCTGTACATGAGCTGTCACACATAGTTTTCTCAATCGTTCCTTCCACGCGGCCCTTTCTTATCGGATTGTACCTGACGCGCATTATCATGTCACGTCGCTTCTGCGCACGCCGCCTGATAAGCACATCGTCCAAGGCGTTTAATTACGTTTTGTTGCCTTTTCGCGTTTTAACAAACTCTCTCTTTCTCTCTCTCTCTCTCTTTTCACTTCGCATTATCGCACTCTCTCTCAAAGTTTTCTCTGTCTACAAAATTTCCCTCAAACCTCTATTATCGTTCTTTCGAGCTTTCTGTGATCATCTGACTATTGCTTCCGGCCAGCTTTTTACTATCAAGCTCTACACAATATCATTGTTGGACTTCGGCGACCTTCCTTCCATTCTTTATTCGGTAAGTTCATGATTTCTTTCCTCGTAATCCCAGTCCTTTATTTTTGATTTGTTGCGTATCTACCATTTGTGCATATTGCCTGTTGCTATTCTACATTTATTTTGGTTGTTTGTATTCCATTCCTGTCTTCAAGCTTTGATTACTGTTAGTCATTTCCCGTTCTTTGAACTTTTGTTGTGCCTTGAGCTTCGTCATTGCATTTGCTTGTGATTTGTATACATTGCTTTCACACACTCACACAGCGTTTGTAATTCTTCAGGTTCTTGGATTCTGTTTGCCTTTGACACTTCTTGACTCTGAATCATTTTCTTTTCATGTTCCTCTTGATTGTTTTCAGATCTTTGGTCTTTGATTCTTGTCTCTGTAGTCCTAGGTTTGGGAATTGCTAGAAATCACATACCTAGGAGAAACTAAAACAAATCCCTTATTGAATTTTCAAAACCCTTGTCCCTAATACCTGTTTAGGGTTTAGCCGAGGTTTCCTTAACCTTTCTCTTAAAATCTTGCACAGACACCTTAAGCCAATATCATGGCTATGTTTAGGTGGAGAGTAGACACCCCTGCTAAGCTGGAGTACTTTAGGCAAGAGTTTTCCATTCTAGCCAACGTTCAGATCAGGTTGGCTAGAGAGGAAAACACTATCATGCCAGTTAGGTACTCAATGCCCTTTTCTGTGGTAGCATTTATCAAGTGTGGACTTCGGTTTCTCTTAGACAACCTTTTTAGGAAAATCCTCCACTACTACAAAGTCAACCATATGCAGCTAGCCATTAATTCCTATAGGGTCATTAATGGTATAATTGCTCTAGCTCGCCGAGAAAACGCTAAGATAACACCAGCCGATATCCAATTTTGTTACACTATGTATGGTCTAAAGTCTGAAAAATACTATATTTACTACCTCAAACCGAGATCCACAGCCTACAAAATCATAGCTGACCTCCCAGACTCCAAAAAGGGCACTCGAACCACGTTAAATATTGTGTCTCCTTGAGTGTGGGTGTGTTTTTCTGCTTGCAATGATTTCTAGAAGGTCTTGGGCGGGATCCCAGATCCCAACAGGTTCCGAGGCCTAAAAAATCTCGAAGCAAGAAAGAGAAGGATGATGAAGAGGAGATACTGGTGATCGAAGGAATAGAGGTGGATCAAGACGTGTTTGTGAAGTTTGATGTGCTTATTAATGATGAACATGAGGTGATCGGACCGGACAATACTGAGTTTGCTGGAAGTTTTGTGAATGTGCCTCATAAGCATAAGCATGGGAAGAAGATCAAGACAATGTTGAGGTTGGGGATTGCTGAGTTGTTGGAGGAGTTGGGAGCTGAGGATGATGATGGTGTGTTGGTGACTTTGGTACCTAAGAATGGGGCTGGTGCTGTCACCATTGGTGGTGTCAAGATAGAGTTTGATTCTTGAATCAATAATCGGCCATGGTTATGGTCAGTGTTGGTGAAACAGTCATAAACCAAGTGAATAATGACATCGACAATCTAAATTTAGTTATGTATTGTCTCATAAGTTAAGTGAATAATGACATCGATAGTCTAAATTTAGCTATGTATTGTCTCATAAGTTATGTAACGGCTCATTTAAATTGATGAATGTAGTAATTAGTCATGATTTGTTCATGATTTGCAATTTTTATTTTTATTTTTCCATTCTTTCAAAGTTTTTTTGATCAACGCTTTTTTCGGGTAAACAACAAGCATCTGAGGGCAATGAAAATAAAGACAGTAATTCATTTTGATCCTGGTTATTTCTACCATATTTTTATGAGTGATGTTATTTGTTGTGTCAATCAAATTGTAAGTATATTACATTGAAGATATACATGAGTAATAAGACTCTTTACGCGTACATTGGGTTGACAAATAAATAACAAGAATAATATGATTTAAAAATATGATAATTATAAGATTATTATATTTAGAAAAATTATATATAAGTTTATCGTCAATATCTACTTTCTAAATGTATAATAGAAATGATTAACTTAGAAAAAATATAGACTACAAGAAATTATGATTTTAGAAACAAAAAATTAGGTACAAAATTACGTTTTAGAGACAAAATATTTTTGTCGACAAAAGTGTTATTATTTTATTTTTAATGAAAAAATTAGACATTTTAGTGATAAATTATTAACTTTTTGGGATCAAAAGTTGTGTCAAAAAATAAAAATTTTTAGGACCAAGTTATTTTGTCCCTAAAATTATATTTATTAGCAACCATTACAAGAAATGTTACTTTTGGCTACCAAAATATTGGTCGCCAAAAGTCAAAAATTTAGCCGCTGAAACGCTTTAGCGACCAAAATATTTTATCGCTAAGTTCGTCGCCTTTACCTTGTCGGCGATAGTATTGGCGACTAAAATTTGTGTGGTCGCCGAAAGTGACTACATTTCGCTACTAAATTTAGTTTAGTTGGCAAAAGGTATGTTTCCGCCACTAAAGTATTAGTCGCCGAATGAGGCTTTTTGGCTACTAACTTGTTGTGGTCGGGGAAGGTATCACTTTTAGCTACTAAATAATTCGTCGCCGAAAGTACACATTTGGCTATTAATTTTAGTTTAGTCGGCAAAAGGTGAATTCGGTGACTAAAGTGTTTAGTGGCCAATAATTTCTTCTCTCATTCTCAATTGTTTTAGCTACTAATTATTTGGTCGCTAAAACTTTTTGGGTTATGTTTTTGCTACTAAATTATTAGTCACCAAAACATTTGATTACGTATTTGGCTACCAAAATATTTGGTGGCCAAATACTTTAACGTTTTTTTTTTTTTTTTCAATTTTTTTTTCTAAACAACCTTTATCCATTATTAATACAACTTGTACCCTGTATAAACAATATAATCCATCAACACTAAATATGTTATCAAACATTCAACCACGTGCACACATTTCAATTGCAACCATCCAAATAATTAATATTGAACATCCAATTATACATATATATTACAAATTCCATAAGAACCAAGTCTAATCCAACGTCAATATTTTAATTCCATACATAATACAGGAATAACCAAATTAATTGTACACCTACAACTTCTGTACCACAACAAAAATTATATTAACTAATGAAAGACATACAAACATGGACCCATCATGAGTTCTTGTTTTAGCTTTTCAATGACAGTAACAAAGTATCTGAAAATCAACAAATGCCACCGGAGTTCCATATGTGCTCTGCATCTTCAATTTTATAAATCCATGGCAACTGGGAAAGGACAAAAAGAAATAGAAAATTAAATTCCACAAGCTTCACATATTAGGAAAATACATGATAAAAATAATTACTCCAAACCTTGAAAAGACTTGAATTAGCTCTTGCTCTGAACAAGTTGGCCCCAAATTTGCCACAAATAGTGTTGGACATGCATTAACATTTTGCGGAACATGAGGTGCAGAGTAGTTGTTCTGCTAATGTAGAAAAAATCCCGAGAGAACTGAATTAGTGAATAAAGATTCAAGCATACTGGATAAACTATTTAACATGAGGAATTGGTTATGCAAATGCAAAAGGCCCAATAACAAGATCAATTAAAATGATGGATAATGATGCTATTGGAAAATACCACCTAGAAGTAGTGTGTTAGTCTATTGCATCAAGGTAATATAGTTTTCAAGTAGGTTTGTGGATCATCTTCAAAGAAGAATTGACTTCTGACAACCATAAATACTAGTATCCAAGGGGACAATGTTAAAATGGTTAGGATAAGAGCCATGGCGAATTTATTTTGTTTAATTTTCCAAATATCCCAAAATGGACAATTGAACTACACTACAAAGGCAGGTGACTCCAAAACAGCCCAGAAAAATTAACCCAACAAGTTTGACGTATGAGGCACTTGCTTTCGCAAACAATTAGTTTCATAGCTAAAGCTCTCACGTTGACATATTTAACAGATGGCTTGACAACCAACGACCACAGAACGAGTCCACAGAGTTCTTTAGAGTATTTGAGGGTAACTAGTTTATCCCATTTTTAGAGTATTTGAGGGTAACTAGTTTATCCCATTTTTAGAGTATTTGAGGGTAACTAGTTTATCCCATTTTTAGAGTATTTGAGGGTAACTAGTTTATCCCATTTTTAGAGTATTTGAGGGTAACTAGTTTATCCCATTTTTAGAGTATTTGAGGGTAACTAGTTTATCCCATTTTTAGAGTATTTGAGGGTAACTAGTTTATCCCATTTTTAGAGTATTTGAGGGTAACTAGTTTATCCCATTTTTAGAGTATTTGAGGGTAACTAGTTTATCCCATTTTTAGAGTATTTGAGGGTAACTAGTTTATCCCATTTTTAGAGTATTTGAGGGTAACTAGTTTATCCCATTTTTAGAGTATTTGAGGGTAACTAGTTTATCCCATTTTTAGAGTATTTGAGGGTAACTAGTTTATCCCATTTTTAGAGTATTTGAGGGTAACTAGTTTATCCCATTTTTAGAGTATTTGAGGGTAACTAGTTTATCCCATTTTTAGAGTATTTGAGGGTAACTAGTTTATCCCATTTTTAGAGTATTTGAGGGTAACTAGTTTATCCCATTTTTAGAGTATTTGAGGGTAACTAGTTTATCCCATTTTTAGAGTATTTGAGGGTAACTAGTTTATCCCATTTTTAGAGTATTTGAGGGTAACTAGTTTATCCCATTTTTAGAGTATTTGAGGGTAACTAGTTTATCCCATTTTTAGAGTATTTGAGGGTAACTAGTTTATCCCATTTTTAGAGTATTTGAGGGTAACTAGTTTATCCCATTTTTAGAGTATTTGAGGGTAACTAGTTTATCCCATTTTTAGAGTATTTGAGGGTAACTAGTTTATCCCATTTTTAGAGTATTTGAGGGTAACTAGTTTATCCCATTTTTAGAGTATTTGAGGGTAACTAGTTTATCCCATTTTTAGAGTATTTGAGGGTAACTAGGCCACGTCGTTTCATATTTCACAAGTTGGTGATCCATACTTCACCAATTCGAGGTGCATATTTCACAAATCCTTTTTGATGTTTTCATAATTTCATAATGTTTCTCACATAACATACATAACTTCACAAACTCTTTTGAAGTTTCCATAATGTCACAGTGTTTCTCACATAGCATACGTAACATTTATGTCAACATAATTCTTACGACGAAGACCATAACATCGATAATAATAATTATTAACGGTTAAAGGTACATCGAAGTACTACTACTCACAGTGCTACAACGGAGTGCTTGTCCCTCCTGAAGTGTGCCCTGTACACATATATAACTTAGTCATTAGTTCTTTTTTCTTTCCTTCATTATTCTTCACAAGCCCACCATTAAGCATCCATTTATACTACAATTTCCTCCATCTCAATATATATCTATAAATAGAAGATTACCATTCTTGCAAACACAGTATGGAACTTATAATCAATCACTTTGATTTCAAGATAGAAAAGAATTGTATGGACATCCTCCACATTTTTCCAAAAATCCCTGAATGTCTAGGGTTTTCACCCAAAAACCAAACATTTCCTATCTACATAAACAAACTCCAATAAATCATTCTCTTGATTTTAATAACTAAGCAAGCCCACAAGTATTTAGCAAAATAATTTGGGATTAACCCATTTTGGAAAACTCCACATTTTAGGTCACAAAAATCAAAGTCAACATTGTCAATACCATCTCACATAATCACTACAATTCAACATAAGCAACATGATTCAACTCAACATCATTAAATATAATTCAACATAATTCAAGAGGAATTCTTAAATTCCATTTCAACATTCCATAACCGAGTTTATGTCATCTATATCAGTAATAGATCATTTCCTCAAATTTCCTTCTCATTATAACATGATTTACATTGCTCATAACAAAATTCATTCGCAAATTTTAAACATAATTTTCAAACATAACCAAATTCCAATTAAACTTGAACACATATAATTCAATACCTCAATTTCACTATTCTACTTTCAATTTGGGCCAAATCATTGGGTATCATCATTAATCAACCTAGGGTTTCAAGAAAAAAAATGAAGATTTTTAACAAAAATTCACACTTCTTAAATCACCACTTTTAATTCCAATTTTCCCAATGATTCTACACCTAGGATTCACAATTCATCATTTTAACCCACCAATTTAACTTCCAACATCTCAAACTCTAAATCCCCAAATCTCATAATATGCCCTAGATTATAAAAATGAAGATTTTTGCATTAATATAATGAAGTTACCATAAACCTATCCATAGATGTAAGTATTGAGGAGATCTAGAACCCCTACCTCGAAGAACAAACAAAGGAGCGAGCTTGGATGAGATTCCACCTCAATTTCAAAATTCAATCGGTTGGAAATGTTGACCTTTTCTTGTTCTCCATCCTTGATACAAGATCTATGGAGGATTTGTTGATAAAAGTGGAGGAAATCAAGGTTTTGGAAGCTAGGGTTTCGGACATGGAAGAGGGGAGAAGAAGATAGGAAAAGAAATTGCAAGAAATGGTCCAAAAATCCCGTTTTTAGAGCTGCTGTCCCGCACAGACCGCACGTGCGGCACTATTCCCCGCACGTGCGGCTCTGCTTCCAGCACAGGTGTGAAAACTTCAAATGGGTATAACTCTCTCATCGGGACTCCGTTCTAGGTCGTTCTTGTGTCCAAATCGAAGCCCCGGAAATAAGCTTTCCAATGGTTCTAACCTCACATTTAAATTCAAAGTGTGGAAAAAGAAAAGGACAAATGAATGACGGCTGATCGTAGGTTAACTATTCGAATTAAATTCGTTGGTCCAATCTTACTTTACCATTATACCACCACCTCAAACAATACCCCAAAATAAGGTAAGAACATTCCAAATACACTATGAAGAATGTCAAAAATGAGCCCATGCTCGAGTGGAGGGTAAAAAAAATTTCAAGCCGACACAATAAAGGTCACCATAACTCAGCAGATAATTCTTTAATTCCGATAGATATAGTTGAATTAAAACACATTAACCCCTAATTAAATAAGGATGATTTTCTATACGCATTTTGGGGTCATTACATGTGCTCTGCATCTTCAATTTTATAAATCCATGGCAACTGGGAAAGGACAAATTTGAAATAGAAAATTAAATTCCACAAGCTTCACATATTAGGAAAATACATGATAAAAATAATTACTCCAAACCTTGAAAAGACTTGAATTAGCTTTTGCTCTGAACAAGTTGGCCCCAAATTTGCCACAAATAGTGTTGGACATGCATTAACATTTTGCGGAACATAAGGTGCAGAGTAGTTGTTTTGCTAATGTAGAAAAAATCCCGAGAGAACTGAATTAGTGAATAAAGATTCAAGCATACTGGATAAACTATTTAACATGAGGAATTGGTTATGCAAATGCAAAAGGCCCAATAACAAGATCAATTAAAATGATGGATAATGATGCGATTGGAAAATACCACCTAGAAGTAGTGTGTTAGTCTATTGCATCAAGGTAATATAGTTTTCAAGTAAGTTTGTGGATCATCTTCAAAGAGGAATTGACTTCTGACAACCATAAATACTAGTATCCAAGGGGACAATGTTAAAATGGTTAGGATAAGAGCCATGGCGAATTTATTTTGTTTAATTTTCCAAATATCCCAAAATGGACAATTGAACTACACTACAAAGGCAGGTGACTCCAAAACAGCCCAGAAAAATTAACCCAACAAGTTTGACGTATGAGGCACTTGCTTTCGCGAACAATTAGTTTCATAGCTAAAGCTCTCATGTTGACATATTCGACAGATGACTTGACAACCAACGACCACAGAACGAGTCCATAGAGTTCTTTAGAGTATTTGAGGGTAACTAGTTTATCCCATTTTTAGAGTATTTGAGGGTAACTAGTCCACAGAGTGCTTAAACAGAAGTGCGTTTGATAGTTTGGTGCAATTTATTGTGATTATTGTAGAGTTTTTTTTTAAAAAAAAAAAAAATTGGCTTACATCTTATGATCCAAAAATTGTGTAAATAAGTTAGAAAAAAGATGTTTATGGGAAAGTTGGAGAATGTATGTCAATCGTAAATGACCTTTTTAACAAAGCGAACACAATTGATTCATTTTACAGTCCTACTACCTTAAGATCATGTCATTGGTAAATATTGCAGGTATATCCAAAATCATGGACTGCCCTTTATATAGCACTTGATAATGTGGGAATGTGGAATCTGAGATAAGAGTTTTGGGCAAGACAGTACCTCGGACAGCAACTCTACGTACGTGTCTACACAGCATCGACTTCACTCAGAGACGAATTCCCCATTCCAAAGAACGCTCTTCTCTGTGGCAGGGCCAGTGGGCAGCATACTCGACCCCTCTAAAGGGTAAAAAGAAAGTTCCACGACACTTTTAGCTAGGGAAATTAAATTAAAGTTTGTTTATCTACCAAATGTGGTGGATTAAAATCTTAGTTTATTATTATTAATTTTTTCTTTATGTGCTTAATTTAATGTTATTTTTAGTTACTACATTAGCACTAGTGCAATTATATGAGGAACATGTATCAATAGTGCTGTAGTAGAGTGAGCAATGACCTTAAGTCGAGGTCATATTCTTTTCGATTTTCATCAATTCAACAGTATTGTATTACCCTTGTTGTAATGTATTGTAAGGTTTCCTACTATTACTTAATGAAGTGGTTCTTCTAGTTGGCTCAGGTTTTCTTGTAAAGAATATAGGGCAAATTTTACTTTATCTTGCAAATAACCTCTTATCATTTATAGATAATCACGTAAATCTCGTGATTTGTAGACGTGGCTGTTACCCTCAAACACTTAAACATAGTTTATCCCATTTTTCTTGGAAAGTATAGCTTCATCAGTTTCCAAGGATTTGACCCCTGGAACACAGCGAAGAGAATGACCATGTTCAGACTTCAAATAATAGGAACCTTTCTATCAACCAAGAAACAATAATTGTCTATTCCCAAAAACTAAATTAGCCAATTGATAAAAAGAATATGTATCAACCAAGAAACAATATCTATCAACCAAGAAAGCATAAGGAAATAACATAAGTTACGACTAGAAACCAGATATTATTAGAAAAAGCAACAAACCTCTCCTCAACTGATTGAAGTGAGTTTCTTATGGATTTGTTCTAATCTTAAAACCAAAATAACTTAACACAAGATTCAAAAGAAAAATTCCCTCAATTTTATTAGCAGCGAAATAGAGAAAATAACTGGTAATTTTAATACTCTAAAGTCCACAACCTCTACCAGGTGAGCAACAACTTCATATTGACAATGTCCTCTCTGTTTGGCAAGTAAGAAAATATAGCAACAGTTCAGAATTTAAAAAAACGGATTCTCTTATTTATTACCACAAACTAACTGGGGACAATGTAAAAGAAATCAAGATCAAATTTGATTCTCTATTCTTTTTCTAAATTCATTACCAACCCAACAAAGCGAGCAGAAAATCTAGCAACACTTCAGAATTTAAAACCTTATTCTGTTATTTATTCCCACTAAACCAAAACCTACCCACGAACTGATTGGCAACAATATAACTAAAACAATATCAAAATTGAGACTCTATATATTTTTTTCCCCTAAATTGATTCTTATGGATTTGTTCTAATCTTCAAACCAGAATAACTTACCATAAGAATTTTTTTTAAAAAAAATTGCCTCAATTTTCTTAGCAGCCAAACAAAGAAAAGAACTGATAATTACTAGTATAAAGTCCACAACTTCTACCAGTTGAGCAACAACCTCACATTCTTAATCCCTTCTCTGTTTGGCAAGTAAGAAAATATAGCAATTTCAAAATTATTTATTCCCACAAATCCAAAACCTGCCCAGCAACTAATTGGGAACAATGTAAAAGAAATCAAGATCAAATTCGATTATCTATTCTTTTCCTAAATTTATTACCAACCAAAAATGTAAAGCAAAACCTGCCTACGAACAAGTTCAAAATTGATTCACTAATTTTTTTCCCTAAAATTTTCTTAGCAACCAAACAAACAGAGGGAGTAGAAAAATTGAAACCTAGAGGAGCTTCGTGGCATATTCCGAAACACCATCAGAGACAAGAACAACCATGTCCTTAGTAGATCCTGTGTCCCGAATCGACTTCCCGAGAACTCGAACACCCGGTAAGAACTCATCGCCGTATAGAAGAGTCACGTAAGCCTCATTAGAAGACTGACGAATACAGATCGCATGCTGAAGTAGAGTGAATATAAGCAAAAACCAATTGATAAATTAGCCAATTGATAAAAAGAATATGTATCAACCAAGAAGAACAAACTCACAAAATTAGGCATAATCACCACAAAGCATCACCAACAAGAGTTACAGACAAATATCATAGATTAGCCAATTGATAAAAAGAATATGTATCAACCAAGAAGAACAAACTCACAAAATTAGGCATAATCACCACAAAGCATCACCAACAAGAGTTACAGACAAATATCATAGGGTTGTGTGTGTGTGAGAGAGAGGGAGAGACCGATTGGGCGTTATGCCAGGAGAGGCCGCGCTAGACATTGACGGAGAAGGTGGTGGCGAGATAGATGGTGGCGACGCCGAGGCCCGCCGTGAAGGCCTTGAATGCCTAGTCCCCTGCTTTGTTCGCCACTCCCATCTCCAGTCTCTCTCTCTCTCTCTCTCTCTCTCTCTTTGACACAAAGAAATTAAAACTATTTGAACAACCAAACCCATTTCAGAAAAATATCTCCATCAAAATATTTTAATTTTTGGGCGACTAAAATTTCTTTTTGTCGCTAAAAATATGTTTAAGATAAAAATTAATTTTTTATTTTACATTTGCCGACTAAAGGTTTTAGTAGCCAAATCTATACATACAGCGACTAAAATTATTTTTCGTCGCTGAAAATCAACCTTTGGCGACTTTTTAAAGATTAATTTTTTATTTTACATTTGCTGACTAAAGGTTTTAGTAGCCAAATCTATACCTACGGCGACCAAAATTATTTTTCGTCGCTGAAAATCAACTTTTGGCGACTAAAATTTTAGTCGCCAAAAGGTAAAAATTAATTTTTTATTATACATTTGCCGACTATAGGTTTTAGTAGCCAAATGTATACCTACGGCGACTAAATTTACTTTTTGCCGCCAATTTTTGGCATTTTTTCCGACTAAATTTCTGTTAGTCACCAATTGTAATAGTTTTAGCTACTAAATTTTTTTTAGTCGCCAATAATCAACATTCCCCTACTAAAAAAAATTAGTAGCTAAAAAGTTGACTTTTATCGACTAGTATTATTTTTGGTAGCCAATTCCGTGACTTTTGGCGACTAAATTATATTTGGTAGCCAAAAATGGTCGCCGAAAATGCATTTTCTTATAGTGAACATTTTTAAAATTTTGTTCTTAATAACTCATTTTTTGACTTTTCGAGACAACTTTTTTAGCGATTATCATCACGATAATTGAAATTAAATTTTTTTTATACTTGTTCTTAATGCATTAAAGTGTTATTATGAGGGTAAGACTTGGGAGTTGGGAGAAGTTAATAAATGCAAAGGTTTTTTTTTTTTTAAATCAAAAAATCAGAAAATTTAGATTGGGGGATTGGAGCTCCCACAAGACTTGGATTAAAAACCCCATTTTGCTTAATATATAGTATAGATATGTGAGCACATGATGTGGTGTCTAATAGTGTGGTGGTTTCTCCTTCTGCCACGTGGCAAATTTTCCTATCTTGAAATAAAAATATATTATTCAAAAGCGTGAGCAAGATTTAAACACAAGACCTTGGGTTTCATTAATAACACTCTTACCATTTAGACAATATATATATTATGATATAAATTTCTTTATTATTTATTTTTATACTTATTTATTTAAATTACATACACATTTTATGTGCCACCCACTAATATATATATATATATATATATTGTGTACACAAGCATGAAGATGATCGATTCATGCTATTTTCTCGATTATTTTTAATAATTCTTTTGGTCAAAGGTGCACATGTACCTAACCAGTATTCACTACAAGAAAATCAATTTTTAGTAGCGTTTTTTATTGTAGTGGTCACAAAAAATGCTGTTACAAATTGACTATTGCGACAATTGTTAACCACGGTTAAAAATAAAGCCTTTAGTGACATTTTTTTAAAAGGCGCTGCTATATAATATTTTTTAGTTACGTTTACAATAAACCGCTACTAAGTCAAACAAAATTAAAGCGCCCAAAAAATTCTGATTTAGTGCCTAAATGGAATAATATCAAAATTTCAGTCCCAAAAAATTGTTCAACTCCTTCAATAGAACTTTGTGCCCTAGTCTATCTATAGTTCTTTCACAAACCTATAACAGAGAACCACCGTGTGTTCATCCTCCACCGTGAGGACGGTTCATCCACCACCGTGAGTTCATTCTCCACTGTGAGGATGGTTCATCCTCCACACCGTGAGTTCATTCTCCACTGACATCAAGCTACAGCACCACTGTGAGTTCCAGGTCAGTTTGTTATCTCTGTTTCTCTTTCTCTACTCCTCTCTCTTTTCAGGTCTGTGGGTTTCTCATTCTCTACCCTCACTCTGTCTTCAGATGTGTTTGCCTAAATGGAATTCATTGTTAAGATGAGATTAAAGTCATTCCATTCGTTACTTCTAACATCTCCAAAACCTCTCTACTTCAAAGGGTTCTATGAACAACTTAAATGATTTTAATTTTGGAAAAAAATATAGAAAATAGAATGATTAACATGTTTTGTATTCTGATTATGATATTCATATTCTACCCAATATAATCATTGAAGTGAATGAATTGTTGGTGATTCTACAAACAGCGAAGTCTCATGCTTCTGATTATGGGTCTGCTAAGTGTTTGATAAAATGCCACAATGGCTTTCAAGTTGTCAATTTCTTTTCTTTTCCTTGTCCTCTTTGGTTTATAAAAAACCCTCCTTGTGTTGCTAGCACCTTGAATTTGAGAGTCGTTCTTACTGTTTTTGACAGTTGTGCATGCAAGTGTTCTCGTTTCCTGTTTTCATGCATGTTAGATATTAATTTAACAACCTTTCTTTTCATACAAACGAATTGTAAGGGGAAAGTTGATGAAGGTGAAGTGTTAGATGCAATGAAATTTAGGGGAAAAAAGGATGCAAAATTTTCTATGAAGTTTAACATAAAGCTGTTTTGGATATTTTGACTGATTACTAATGCAACCATACATTTGAATATTTTCCTTACTCTGTCCAATATAAGGCTTCAATTTAGCTTCCATCTTTTTCATTATTTTTGTTTTTTAAGGCCCACTTACAGGAATCAGATTTTGTGAAATGGGGTTTTTTTGACCAGCAAATAAGAAATAAGGGCGGTTTTTTTTTTTTTTTTTTCCAGGTATATTGGCAAGACACAAATGAATGAGCACTCATCCAGAAGTCACTTTGTTTTTACCTTGCGAATATCTGGAGTAAATGTGGTACACTTCTGAATTTTGTTTGTTTCCATAGAAAATCGCATCTCCCTCTAATATGCACATTCCATATGCTGATGTACTTCGCTTGTTAGAACACTGAGCAACAAGTACAGGGTGTGTTGAACCTCATTGATCTGGCTGGCAGTGAAAGACTCTCAAGGAGTAACTGGGGACCGACTGAAAGAGACTCAGGTCTCTGTCTCTACCTCGCTCTTGCTCTCTATAATAACTAAAAAGGAGAGTATTTCTTTACAAATTATTTTTATTCTTTTGATTTGGTTAGATGTGTTTATTGTTTTGTTTTGTGTATTTTATTTATTTATTTATTTATTTAAGGAGCAGCAGGATTGGATAATTATGAAATTTGATTCATCTTTTATTTTTTTTATTTTTTTTCAATCACAAAGTTATTGTAATGATAATGATTGATAAATGACAATGATGTCCTTGTTTTGCATTTCACATCCTCAGTTCTTGTAATGAATGATAATGGATAATGATTTACATGGAATAAATTCATGCCAGAATTGCTAATTTGCTAAGTAATAGAAATTCGTTTTCTTTTGTTAGATGTCCTGTATTTTAATGCATTATCTTGCATCTCCCACATGCAATCAACTCCTCTCTTAAAGAAAATTTAAGCAACATTGTAGGTAATTATGTTATGAGTTTTGTTAATTTAAGAAAATTTAAGCAACATTGTAGCTAATTCTGTTATGAGTTTTGTTAATTTGTAGGATCTGAATTATTTGAAATTATTGACACCCTTCTTTTTCAATTGACAACAATTCACACAACTATTTTAGTAATCCACAACAATGTTTCTCTTTATATGTACTATTCATCAGGCAAACCTTTCTTTGGTCTCTGATGCACAAGCCAGTAGAAATATTCCTTCGTCAATGCTCGTGCTCATAGAATCCCTGTCCGTTTCAGTCTAGTAAAAAGTGATGGTTTTTGCAAACTAGTTATTCCTAGTATCTTCAATCACAAAGCTATTTTCTCCTATGTTGAATGAACCCCTAAACACCACTTCATTTTTGTGCTTCAGATGAACCAAAAATAGCAAGTGGCAGAATTTTTAAATTTTCTATTCAAACTTATTCCTAGAAAAGCTAGCCCACCAGAGTAACACCCCTTCTACTATTTTTGACATTACCTATTGTGTACCCCACAATGGTATAATATCAGCCCAATCCTTCCAAATAAGAGGACACCGCATCATAACATGACTAACCAACTCTGCATCTGTTTTACAAAACACTCATAGGTTGTTAGCATTGCCTTGAATCACACCAATCTTTTGTAAAAAAGTGACAGTTTTGAGCTTCTGCTTCCAAGCTAACCACACAATGGATTTAGCTCTAGGAGGGGATACATTATGCCACATCATGTTGGCAATAACTCCAAAATCATTTGGTTGTATATTGTTTTCACACCATCTGTACATTGAGAATACACTGAAGCACCCAGAATTTTCTGCCATCCACCTTAAATCGTCATCCTTATCATCTTTAAGAGCATAGGCATTGGTTATCAGATTAACAAGTCTAGCAACCTCTTCTTTTTCCCAATCTCTCAGCTCTCTTGTAAACCCCCTCATCCCACTCTAACAGACCCTTTTGAGTTCAAGGACTTCCTTAACAGATCTCTACCTATCAAGTCAAATTCTAAAAAGTCTAGGGAACACTTCCTTTAAACAACTAGCCCTAATCCACCTATCCTCCCAGAACAGAGTCCTAGCCCCATTCCCAATCAATATGTGAGTATAGCTAACATAGAAATTATGAAGATCAGGTTTAGAAACTACCACTGCTAGTATATCCTTCTAGATTGTAGATTGAACATAGTATACTATTTATTTATTTATTTATTTTTATTTTTATTTTTTTAAGAAAATTGTTGTCCATTATTTTATTATGATAAGATAAAAGCCATTCCACTCATTTCTTCTAGCATGTCCAAAACTTCTCTACTTTGAAAGGTTCATGAAACACTTGAATGATTTTAATTTGAGAAAAAAAAAATACTTGAATATAGAATGATTAACATGTTCTATTCTGATTATGATATTCATATTTTAACCAATATAGTCCTTGAAGTGAATGAATTGTTGTTGATGCTACACACATTTATGAATAGCAATGAGGAATCATTATGCGTCTTGTATATGTTTGATAAAATGCCACAACAAGCTTTTTCTTTATTGTAATCTTTTTTTCTGTTATTTTTTTTATATATATTTTTTTATTATTATTTTTTATGAGAAAATTGTTGTCCATTATTTTAATGCTTGTATACTTGTAATGTTTTCTTGGCCTAATAATGTGATTAGAGAAAATACAACACTGAATTTTGCCCCTTTTTTTGGTTGAATCCAAATACACAACTAAGGGGTTGTTTGGAGTGTCCTAAATAAGTGTACTTTTTGTCTTTTTAGACTAAAAAATTGAGGAAGAAAATATGGGTGTTTGGGTTAACTTTTTGACTTTTTATGAAAAAATGCGTAATAAAAAATTGTAAAAATTGATTTATAGGGAAAAATTAGATGGGGAGTTGTGCAGCCGTAATTGTTGACTTTTGGTGAATAGTGTTAACTTTTTAACTTTTTGAGTAACTTTTTGATTTTTTAATTTTTTTGCAATATGCCAAACTTGACCTAAAGAAGAACTTTGAAACATGCCACCCTTTTTACTAGTTTAGCAACAATCATGCAAACCCAAATTCATATCTTCAGAATGTGTTAGGCATATGTAACCCATAGAATCACTGTTGTTTATGGTCTTAGGAGTCTTGACAAGTACCCATTTTCGCACCATACTTCACAAAACATGTAGAAAAATGAATAGCAAAACATGTAATTTTTGCTTTAAAGTTGTAAAATAACTTATAGTTTGTCTTAGTGTTCTTATCTACCGAATATTTATTTTCATATTAGTTGTAAAACAAGTTGTTCCTTTTTTTTCTTTTTTTCTTTTGTTCTATGTTTTGTGTTTCTTAGGATACGCATCTTATGGATCATCATTGCCTTTTTCTTGCACGAATTTGATTTGAAACTAAATATGGTATAAAATAGCAAGTCTAGAAGTTATCAAAGCAGGTTTAGGTAGTGCCTTTTTATGTTACTATTCATAACTCTATACAATATATTTAACTTTTTATTTTATTTTATGGTACTTCAGTTTATTTAATTATCAATCAATGGATAAGAGTTGGATGAAAAAGAGTAGATTGTCAAGAGATTATATGCAAGGGGTTAAAGAATTTTGGAGTTTGCTTCTCACAATATATCTAATGATGGAAAATTTCCATGTCCATGTATGAGATGTGTGAATTCATACATCTTGACCCTAGAAGCTGTACATGATCACATGGTATCCTATGGACTTAGTCCGAGTTATAATTGTTGGTATCATCACAGGGAAACTATCCAAATGATGTATTTATCATATATTATCATTTTCTAAATTTATGCAAACTCATGTGAATTTTATTGTATAAATAGGGCGACAAATGGATCTAGTGGCATTTCGGACCAAGCTTCTCCACAAACACATTAGAGATCCTCTTTTAGGAGTCATGAAATGCAACCTTTTAATCGGGGTAAGTATTTCACTTATCAAAATAGTTCATGGGATAGGGAAAGCAATATTTTCCTCTTTTTTAGTGTTATTTTCATGTTTCAAGTAAGTTGTCATTGTCAATTTTAGTATCAATAGCGTATCAAACTCTAATATGCAATCAAAAAATAGACCATTGGATGCTGCTGTTGGTTGCTTGATTAGTGGCTATCAAGGTTGTTAAGATCGGGATCCTACATAGGATCGTTTTGGGGGTCTGGAGGATCGGATCGGGGATCGTAAGATCCTACTAAAACGATGAAAAAATGCAATAATTCTTATATGTCTAACTAATACTATCAAAATACATATAAAATGACCCAAAAAAACTTGAGAATGTAGCTCAAATGGTAGAGCTCTCATACTTATGAGCAGATCGAGGTTCAAATCCTCGCATTCTCACTTGTGTGCCTTGTTCACTAACAATAATCAATTCAAATATACATTTTGCACATTTTTTTAAACAAAGAAAACATAATAAAAGAAGGTGGCAATTCAAGTTGTCATTCAAACATTTTCCTCAAATCTTAACAAAAAAACATATTAAAAGAAAATAGCAATTCAACTTCAAGTCTTCAAGTTAACACTTGCACAACATTGATATGATATCCTTAACAAAACAAACTAAAATAAGAGAAGAATAAATAAACAAGAGACTAAAATAAGTCATCATTTTCATCGCCGAAATCATCATTGCCACAATCAACAACATTGTTGATCTCATTGTCTCCCTCATCTTCATCATCACCCACAGTGTCACTCAACTCCTCAATGTCATCATCACCAATAGTAGCATCATCAAAGTCATGATCAAAATCCCTTGGAGCATTCATGTTGTCATCCATATCATCATCATCACTTACTTCATGAATTTCATCGACATTTTCTCCAATATGGTCATGGCCTAAGTTAGAGTAAAAAAAAAAAAAAATCCAAATTAAATCCAAATTGCAATTTCTAATTAAAACTAAAAGATGTATCATGTACCTAGACTTACATGCTTGTTCCAAATCCCTTGCAAGAGCATCTACCTCCTCATCTTCTGAATGACATCCATGTCGAGCATTCCTATCAAGCACACTCAACCAATTTCCTTCTCTTGGAAGAGTCGGCTTCTCTCTCTCTGTTATCCACTCATCGTCTGATGGAACATCATCCAAACATAATGGATTCATGATTGCTTGTCTATTCTTGTGCCTTTGTCTCAGTTTCAAATTGTACATGACAAAGACCAAGTCATTCATTCTCCTTTGGTGTAAACAATTCCTCCGCTTTGAGTGTACCATCTCAAAAGCACTCCAATTGCGCTCACACCCCGATGAAATGCATGTTAGACTTAATACCCTAATTGCGAACCTCTTCAACTCAGGACATTCATCACCAAAAGAGTCCCACCAATCCCCTACATCGAAATTTTAATTAAGTAGTTCAAAATTTAAAGTTCTTCAAAACAAATAATCATAACATAAGATTGATACTACTTACAAATCAACTTAGGGTAAAAATAAATAACCTGGAGATCTCTTTTTTCTAGTCAAGATTGCATTTTGTATACCAAAGAGTCCTCTTGCATTCTTGAACGCATCAATTTGCAAATCTATCTTCACCCTCTCATTAGTGTCAGGGACCATTTTTTCAAGACATTTGTACAACCCAATTTTAATCTCTGTATCAGCTTGAAAATTGGGACTATAATGAAGCTGAGGGTTCAAGAAGTATGCTGCAGGATGCAATGGGTGATGGAGTTAGGTTTCCCATCTTCTATCAATGATGGCCCATATAGGATCATATCTGACACAATTTAATAAATATTATTAATGAATAAATAAAAAGTTTAGAGAAATAGTATTAAAGAGTAAATAAATATTATTAATGAATAAAAAGTTTACCATCTTAGGAGTATTATTTGGTCGTATAGGATCGCGATCCAAATAGTGGTTGAAAAAATGTTGCAAAAGCGAAGGTTATAGCAGCGGTCAACCCATCCCTATAAAGTTATGAAGTAATGGGTAAATTTGGGATTTAGCGATGTTTATAACTGTCGCTACATCAACTGTTGCAAGGAAAATATTTATACCAGCGGTTGAGAAAACTATCACAATAAACCTATAGTGATGGGTCTATTGCGGCGGTTTGGCCGTTGCTATTTAAACCTCAGGTAAAAGTACACTAGTTTTTAGCAATGCTTTTTGTTACTTTTAGCGGTGGTTTTGGCCACTGCTATATGTCAAATATTTTGTAGTGATTGCACAACTTTTTCTATGGTCAAGGAGTAATTTCTAATGGTGGTTTAGAATAAACTACGACTCATATCTTATTGTTATTATTATAATGATGATGATGGTGATGGTGATGGTGGTGATGATGATGATGAGGAGGAAGAAAAAAAGAGATAGTGTTTCAAATAATTAAGAAACTTCAAAATATGTTAGGTTTGTTATTTTTCATATCTCAACAACTTAATAAAGGTTTGGCAATATTATTTAACCCATAAGGCTGTGTCATTTGTTGAGAGTACAAGGTAATTTTACAAAATATTTTGAAATTATAAAATATTTACATAACTATATTATGAACTTATCACTCCAAAATAAAAACCTACTAAAATATTTGTTAATTATAAAAATAAAACTACAGTATTGCACAACTTTTTCTATGGTCATGGAGTAATTTCTAATGGTGGTTTAGAATAAACTACGAGTCATATCTTAGTATTATTATTATTTAATGGTGGTTTAGAATAAACTACGAGTCATATCTTATTGTTATTATTATTATTATTATTATTATTGTTATTATTATGACGATGATGGTGGGAGGATGAGGAGGAAGAAAAAAAGAGATAGCATTTCAAATAATTAAGAAACTTCAAAATATGTTAGGTTTGTTAATTTTCATATCTCAACAACTTAATAAAGGTTTGACAATATTGTTTAACCCATAATATTGTGTCATTTGTTGAGAGTACAAAGTAATTTACACAATATTTTAAAATTATTAAATATTTACACAACTACATTATGAACTTATCACTCCAAAATAAAAACCTACTAAAATATTTGTTAATTATAAAAATAAAACTACTATATTATTTTGGTGAAAAATTATCATGTAAGAGTCCGATTCTATAATTGGTTTATATATGTTTTCTAAGATTTTTTCTAAAATAAAAACAAACTTACTTGAGTTCTAAGGAAGGACCTTTGAATGCAGTGATAAAGTCAGTCTCATAATGCTGCTCTCTGAATGCTTCCTTGATTGTATGATACACCTAAGTTATTTTAGAAAGATAGTTAAAAATTAATTTTTAATTAATTTTTTTTGATCTTTTTTAGAAATTCATTTGAAAAATTGATAAAAAATTATTTTTTGACTTTTTTACTTTATAATTGTTTATGATGTTACATCATAATTAAATAATAAAAATACCCCCACTCATTTTAACAAAAATCAACAACTTTTACCTATATGACTCATTTAAATAATATAAAAAATATAATTATAATTTCACAAATAATTTTTAACTATCTTTCTAAATAATTTGTTGACAAAAAAATTATTTTAACTTCTTTAACCCAAGCTGCAAAACAAGACTTTTTTTCACGGCACCCTAACCTCAACCCCTCTAGACTGTACACTACATTAAGGTCATGTTTGTTTGGACGGACTGGATTAGCATTCCCATGACTAATAGTTTTAGGACTACGAATCGGTTGGATTATGTATCCTATCTTAACTAATAGTCAAGTTTAAAATAATTAGTCCGTATTTCAATTGTTTAACCAAACATCAGATTAATAATTTTGTTGGACTATTAGTCCAATCCCAACCTCATGTCCACCCAAACAAATATGACCTAATGGTTAAAGCCAAGGTGCTCTCCCTCTCTCTCTCTCTCTCTTATATAATGAGATTGTTCCAGGTTTAACCCAACAATTTGTACTATGTACTTCTTTACCTAACTTGTAGTACAAATTTGTGATAGTATGAGGGGGGAGAGAGAAAGGGCGCAAAGTCATAATATATTAATTCTCTCCAGTTTTAGATTGGATTGAAAGGTGTTATTAAGTTTATAGGAGCTTATCACAGATCCCGTTTCGATAATTCGAACCGTTAATATATAAAATTCGTCGAGTACTAGAGGAAATTAGGGATTTAACGGCGTTTATTTAACGGCGTTTAAGTAAATGTCACTTTTTCTAACATTTAACGGCGTTTTTTAAACGTCACATTTGTTATAAATTAAAACGGTACCGTTTTGTAAGTGGAAGACGTTTGAAAAGCGCCTTCAAATCCGGCTCTCTTCACACCCACTTCTGTCTCTCCAAACCTTCATTTTGAAAACCCTATTTTGAGCACTGCCGTCTAGACGATTGAATCCTGTCTCACTCACTCTCTTGCTCTCTCTTTCTCACAGAGAATCGAATTTGTTTCTCCAAATCTCCCTCTCAGAGGATCGATTGTTCTTCAGTCTCTTACTCAGTGATTCTTCTTCGATTCTTCTTCAGTTCGGCGATTCATCTCAGGATTACGATTTCGAAGTTCAATTTTGAGCACAGCTTCGTGATTTATCTCCATGGATTTGGAACTCCTCGTCTTCTTCGATCAGAGGTTAGTTGTTCTGTTTGTGATTTATCTCTATTCTGGATCAATGTTTTGCTTAGTGAATACTTTTTTGTTTAGGGCTCTATATAGGTTTTAAGCCCTTAGGGCTCTCGATTCTTCTTCACTCTTTTACTCAGTGATTCTTCTTCGATTCTTCTACAGGCCAGTGATTCATCTCGGGATTGTGATTTCAAGTTCGATTTTGAGCACAGCTTCATGATTTATCTCCTTCGTCTTCTTCGATCAGAGGTTAGTTTTTCTGTTTGTGATTTATCTCTGTTTTGGATCAGTGTTTTGAAAAATGCTGAATCGGTGTTTTGAAAATTTGGTCTCAGTTCATACTCCTTGAACACGCTGATGGTGAAACCTGCTACCATCTCTTATTAGTGGTATGTGTTATCTTCCCACATCTTTGAACGACAACAATTCTCAACTTAACCTGGCTCTTCTCTTCTGGCTTCCCGAGTTTACTTTTATCCTTTTGATGCTTGCAATCATATCATCTTCTAAAAAATCTGGTAAGCACAGGCATGTGAATGAAAAAGTTTGAGGCACTTGGTCTCTTGAAAGCCCCAAAGAAAACTTCATATATTTTGTAGACAAATTTAAGTAGTCCTGCTTTTCTTCCTGATGTGTGAAAGTGAAATATTGATTGAGATGGTCCATGCTGTATATTGTTCATCAATCCCTCTGAAAAAAATAAAAATGAAACTAGATAGAAGTGAACATCTTGATTGTTCTTGGAGGTTTATTTTATTTATAATTCTTACCTCTAGGAGTTGATGATAGTGTTTTTCAATCAATATCTGGTCACAAGAAACTCACACTGCTTTCACTGTTTCCTTGCAGGTTTGTCCCATATGCTCCATAAAAGTTGTGAGCAACATGTTAAGCCATATCACTCTGCAACATGGACATTTATTCAAGATATCCTTTGAAATGTTTTATTGTGTATTTATTGTCTCCTTAGCATTAAACAACATTCATAATTGCTGTACGGTTAACCTTAGAACCATGTTCAGTACCAATTGAGGTTTTCTTTAACTGAATATTACATGCAGAGACGTCGCAGATTACGTAGAGTTGTGATTCCCAACAGTAAGTTGATATAGAATAGCTATAAAATTGAGTAATTAAGTGATCATGATTAGGGGCAATTTGGGTATGGTCTCGCATTGTTCAACAACAACCCAACGTCTAGCCCAATCAAATGTTTTATTGAATAATTTCGGAGGTAATTATTCTTTCTCCTTCCTGTATCTTTCTATAATTTTTTTTGACTTTAACAATGAAGCAAAATTTGAAATGGCAAGTTTTCTAAAAAATTTGGACCAATTTGATTTCATCAAGGTATGCCGAAATAAGTATTTAGTATCTGTGACCCATAAAAAATTTCGTTATGTATCAGTATCTGTTAATCTGTTTTTCTGCTGCTGTGTGGCTGGTCTGCTACTCTGTATCTGATGCTAATCTGCTGTGTATCTGCTACTGTTTTTGGCTTCTGCTAGCACTAGGTTTGAAAAGTCATGATTTTGAATTTGGGTTTCCACTTAAATTGTTTCTACTGCAAATATTTGTCTTTAGTTGAATTAAGGTTCTCTTTATATATATATATATGGTTGCCCTTTATTCTTTGTGACAAAGTGAGAGGAAGCAATTTTGTGTTTTTCGTGTGGAAAAGATACTCTGCCTGGTAATGAGAAGACAATTTATCTGTTAAAAAAATTTGCATCTAGGAAAAACAAGAACATCTACATAATTGTAATCGTTCGATTATTTGACCTTTGAGTTCTTTTTGGAAACCAAATGGCCAAGTGAATCAAAATTCTGGCTATGTTTGGTAGAGTTATTTAAAAAAAAAATAAAATGTTTTTTGTTCTCAAAGTAGCATAAAATAGAAAAAGAAATTGAAAATGGTTGGGTTTGTTGTTGTTGGAAACTTTTCTATAAACCTGAGTTAAAAAGAACCAGTTTTAACTCAAGCTATTTGGGAATTATCTAAATGTTGTTTCCCGACTCTATTTTTTTAAACTACTTCAAACAGGTTATTACTTATTTTCATTCCGTTAGTTTTGTTGATAACATCATGGGGATGGAGTTTTCAAAAGTATAGATCATACATCTACTTGCTCTTCAACTGCAACTTGATTCTTTTGGAATGTGAATTTTATTAACTGTTTATGGTTTCTAAGTTTTGGTTCCTCCTCGTTTGTCTACACTCTCCCCTATATTTGTGAAATGGATGTGTTTGTTGGGTACTAAAATTATCTGTGTTGGCTCTGATGTTTCAATTTTGTGTTTTTGGAGCAGATTGTTGTTCGCTAAATGAATTACCTGCAGAACCTTCAGAAATCATGGGGAGTAGTGGCACACCAAACGAGCAACAACTGCCTGGAGCATGTAATGTTGCTTTTAATTCATTGCCGACAATACATATAAATGAACAAATAGCACCACAAGAGGTTAGAAGTATGCAAAATCAGCTACTGTTTTCGTCTGATTCTGGTGGAAGAATGCTTTTAAAATCATATCCCAAGACAATTGCTTGTGAGGAGTCAATGGGGTTATATGCAAGTAAGGATTTTCTTATGTCGCAACAAACCTGTCATCAGAGAAAATATTTTGCTCCTCACTGGTCCGTTGAATCTGTTAATGAGGCATTAGAGGTCAGTCTGCCAATGTATTTCAATCAGTATTTGTTTTGATACTGTTTATTATTGCACCGAATTATTGATCTTTTTAGACCATGTAAATACATCATGGAGAAGAAGAAGGTTGTTATCATATTTAGTGTTTAATTCTGCAGAAAGGCAATGTCTTTAAAGCGCTGTTTCGTGTGAATGCTCACAACAGACTTGAGGTGCGTTATAATTTTTTCCCTGTATTTCTGTTGCATCTCCTTATTCTATTATGATGCAAATATTATGCACTGTTCTGTGTTGTTAGGCCTATTGCAAAATCAATGGAGTTCAAACAGATGTTCTCATCAGTGGAATTGCTGCTCAGAATAGAGCTGTAAGTCTGGGGTTGCTTTTTCTAGTGATGTTCTAAATGAAGTGCTGTTGACTTCAATTGTCTACGTACTTTTTGTACATTGTGCATTTAATGGATATAAAGTGATAGGAAGTTAACTCACTAATCTTGATTTGTTTGCTTTCTGTTCCTTCATCAGCTGTATACTGTTAATCATTGGCAGTCCCATTTTTTCTTTAATTCATTACTGGATTTCGGTATGCTTTTATATTCAAGTACATTTATGGTTATTTGCATGCTTAAATTTTGTAGTTCCATCAACTTGTTTTGCTTACTTCTATGTGACTCGCTAACCGATTCCTTGTGTATGCCTTTTTCTTTATATCCAATTTGATGATCAGAAAGTAGTTACCATATTCAGGGAAGCAAGAATAGAATTATGTTGATTGGATGCACTTTAAACTATGTCAAGGTTGATGGAAAAATAGTTGTCCATGTACATTAATGATTTTTAAGAGGCAATTTTTTCCACCCTTTCAAGTTTCATCATTGCTAGAGCTGTAGGGATTATGAGTGTGGAGTCCCATGTTAGCCCTCCGAGTGGTTGAAGCTGCTATTAGGATTGTGAGTGTGGGAAGTGGTTCTTCTTGCATCATTTGACTATTTGGGACAATAATCCTTTTTATACTGGGTATGGTTTTGTATTGAAAAACATTTGTTGAGAAGGTCATTCTTAGGACAGATAAGGTTGACAGTCGGCCTCAAGGATTTAGGGAAGAAGCTTTTCTTTATATAGCCTTCTGCAGCTTGAAGCCATAGTTCAATTTTAAACTGTTTGGTAAAGATCATGGGGAGGACTGAGTGGGTGTTGGTAATGGAAAAAGGGTTTTTCATATCTAATAATAAATTAGGTACATTTTCATTTTCTCTTATTAATACAATGATGTGGTGGAAAATCTTCGGAAAGACCATGGTACTCTTGTGGGAAATCTATCTGATTTTTGTTTTTGTTTGTTTGTTTTGATTTCTGATTGCAGGGAGTATCTTTTTCCCATGGCTGACATTGTAACTCCAAATTTAAAAGAAGCATCTGCTTTACTTGGTGGTGTTCAATTGGAAACAGTCGACGACATGCGTTCTGCTGCAAAATCTATCCATGACATGGGTCCACGGTTAGTGCTTTGCATTTGAGTTTTTATTCTTTTTGAGTTAGGCTTATCAGAAGCTGCCAAACTTTTCCACAATCCCTCCAAAAGTAGGAAAAATTATATTTCGACACCTTGTTGTTTGGCACCAAGTCACTTTAGCGTTGAATTTACTGACATGACACTTATCTAGTCTTTATGAAGGTAACTGACACGTCACCTTTCTCATGGATTCAGTAGAGTCTATTAGTAGAAGTTTGGGCAATGATAAAGATATGAATGCCAATTGTGATTTGTGAGAGGGAGGTTTAAGTGTCATGCTAGGCACTGTGAGAGGCAGGTTTAACTTTGAGTTTGCATAGTCAATGTGTACATATGGGCTTGCTCTTTTATTTCTTAGAGCAGATTTGTTTTACAAAGACTAGACAAGAAGAAGAATTGTAATTCGTAACAGCTTTGTTTTTGTTTTCAGAAATGTACTTGTCAAAGGAGGTGACCTCGCTTCTTCATTGGATGCTGTTGATATTTTCTTTGATGGTATGCTTAATGTATTCATTAGGGTTTTTGATTTGTAACTGTGTGTATCTCTAGGCGGTGTCTTTTGCTAATTTGATTTCTTGATTTGATCTTCTATTATATAGCTTTTAACTTTTTATCTGCTAACTTGTGTTTAGGTCAAGAATTCAAACAGAGCATCGGTTATCAGTTATTCAGGTACTCTTTTCTGGATAATGTTGTTACCTGTATATTTTTTTTATTGTTGTACCTTTTCCACACCAAAAGATTCATGTTCTCTATTTTTCCTTCTAAACCCGTATCAAAGATTCACCTTTTCTCTCTTAAAAATCACAGGTGTTCCTCTGTTTTTGAAAAGATGCTTTGTTTCTATTTTTGTTTTCTTTGACAATCTCTTCCTTCTATTTTGTGAGCATTCTGACTCAATTAACACATCTGCTTTTGCTTCCAATGGGTTCCAGGGTGAGGCCAAGAGTGCCCAGCTGATAGGTCAAGCTATTGCCAATAATCCGGCATTTATTACCCCAAGGAAGATTGAAGCTGCTAGAGAAATTGCACATACAATCTCAAATTCAGCCAACAAGGTTTTCTTGACTTCAGATGAACTGTTGTTGAACCTTCAGGAGACAAACTTGGGGACCTCCACTGGGCAGAAGTAAACACAGCAGGTTAAAAAACCTCAGTAACTTCCCTCTTTAGTTCTATTTGTGACTCTTCATTTGTGGGAATATCTTATTAAGCTCATATATATTACTGTTATTAATTAGTGAAGTAAGTTGTTATCTTAATTGATGTGTAGTGAAATTTGCAGACATTGATGCATAAATTTTCTATTTGTATATGTATATGTATATTATTCCTTGTTACTTAGAAGACATTGATGCAGCAGATGTTGATAATGAATTGGCAGTTGTGAAGTATGTTGAGGACATCTACAAGTTCTACAAGTTAACAGAGGTTCTATTTTGGCCTTTATTTTTCTATCTTTTTACCTTCTATATCCATCGACATGTTTTGCTCATTAATGGGAATTTATTACGGTAGGGTGAGAGTCAAGTTCACAATTACATGGATTCACAGCCTGAAATCAATTCAAAGATACTCCAACCACAAAAATTTTGTAACACCACTACTTTCAAATACAACACAATATGCACAACGTTAAGGTTCAAACATTCACAAGTGGGGATCAAAAACCCTGATATTTGCACTGAGGTTCATAAACATTTCTACCTTTTTTACTTTTGTTGCATTGTTTGATGTTGTTTGGATACAAAAGATGAGAAAATTTGCAGTTGGAATCTATTATAACACACTTATCTTAATTATCCTCTCTGTTTGATGCTGAACATGAAATTTCCTGGTTCAGGTGAGTTTGTTTAGTTTGCATTGTATTACTTTTACAGCATAAATTTTGTCATACTCTGCATTGTGTCAAGCGGCCCATTTCAAAGTGCTGGAAATTGTTAGGGCGAATTGGGAAATGCTATTGATTCAAAGGAACATGAATTCTCAAACTCTCCAAGTCTTAGTTTATTAACATAGATGAATTTTATAAGATCAATTTAAGATGTATTTATATGTTTGTCCATTGTCTTTGTTTTGGAATATATCCGGTGTGTATATTGGCCACAGTTAGTATGGGTATAAAGGGGCAAGGTTAGACTATGTGTCCCATGTCCCCCTCATCCCCTGTTTGGTGGACTCAAATGAGGCCAGCTGTGATTGACTGGTTGGGGCGAATAATCCCATGTAGAGGGTACTACTTAATCCCACTCTGGGCATTCTGTTAATGATGAGACTAAAGTGTGGACCATTTTGATTTTTTTGGGCAAATTACATTTCTAGACCATTTTGATTTTAATTGATGTATTTAAAGTCTGAATTGTTTCTATTCTTAGGTATGTAATGCATTGTTTTTTATTTTTAATTTTGTATTCAAGCTTAGTTTATTTATTATTTTAATAAACATTAATTATTAGTTCTTAATAATTGTTTGATAGGTTTTTTTTTTGTTCAATTATATAAAATTAACAAAATCTAAAAATTAAAAAAGGCTATGGCGGCGTTTAAAAAACGTCACTATATCCCATCCCAATGGTAAAGATACCGAAATAACTAAATGTTTATGACGGCGTTTTCAAAAACGTCGCTCCCAACGGTAAGATTTTTAAAATGTATAAATGTTTATGACGGCGTTTTCAAAAACGTCGCTCCCAACGGTAAGATTTTTAAAATGTATAAATGTTTATGACGGCGTTTTCAAAAACGTCGCTCCCAACGGTAAGATTTTTAAAATGTATAAATGTTTATGACGGCGTTTTCAAAAACGTCGCTCCCAACGGTAAGATTTTTAAAATGTATAAATGTTTATGACGGCGTTTTCAAAACGTCGCTAAATGTCAGAGTGACGTCACAGTACACTTAAGTGGGTCATTTGGCGGCGTTTTTAAAAACGCCGCCTATAATAATACAACGACGTTTTTTAAACGCCATGAAGTTATAGCGACGGCCGCGTCATCGGCGTTTGATACTAAACGTCGCAAAAAGAATTATTGACGTTTTTAGTACCTTTAGCGGCGTTTTTTAAACGCCGCTAAAAGTGAATTTTCCAGCAGTGGTACTATATGTCTGTAAAAAATTATGTTAATCGGATATTGATAACTACGTAATCAAATCAGTTTTGTATAAAAAAAAAAAGACGGTGAAAAAATAAACGGTTGACAGAAAACTGATCTGATGAGATAGCTATCGATATCCGATCAACATGATTTTTTACAAGCATATAATACTCGACGAGTTCTACATATTGAATGATTTGGATTATTGAAACAGAGTCCGTGGTAGGCACTTACGAATCCAACAGCACCCTCCAGTTCGATTTGAGACTGGTGGGAAGCCACTGCCTATATTAAAATGGACTCAGATTCTCTATGTGAATTGAACCATATTGTTAGGTTTCAGGGGACCCATTATAGATCCGTTTTGATAATTCAATTCAAACAATTTAATGTTAGAGTTTGTTGAGTGTTTTATTATTGTAAAAAATTACATTAATCGGATATCAAAAATTTCTTGATCCGATCAGATTTCTATTAATAATTTATTTTGAAATCATGTTACCGTTGACAGAAATATATAATTTGATCAAGTGACTATCGATATCTGATTAACGTGATTTTTTTATAAAGATGAAGTACTCAACAAGTTTTACATATTGAATGGTTTGGATTATCGAAATAGAAACCATAGTGAACCTCAACGAGTCCAACAATACGTTCCAATTTGATCTCAGATTATAAAGAAGCTTGACCCTATTAAAATTACCTATTTATTAAACTAAGGCATAAACAGAGAAAAATTATAGCATAGATACATATTTTTTGAGGGGTGAGTTGTTAATTACCTTTTTACTTTCAATCTGGCTTATGTCATTTTCATCATTAATGTTTAAATTGTGTTTATTTTTAATTTATAATGTATAAAAGGTGTTTCGATTTCGTCTTTCAACTTAATTTCAATAGTAAATTTAATTAAA